TTTTTCCGTCTTTATTAAAAACTTTATATAAAAAGTATATTAACGATGTATCACTAAATATTTAAAAACATAAATTTTATTGAGATAATACTAAGTAATATAAACAAGAGTAAAATAACAATATTCAATATGCTATTGAATATAACCGGAAGTTTCAAGTAGATGATAATAATTTGAAAAATGTGTTGATTATTTCATTAGACTAGTCGCGTTAAAATTACTCGCTCGAGGTGTTCTTTAAGTATTTTTTAGTTGTAAATATAAATTAAACATTAAAGTTTTATCAAAAGAGAGTATGTGTGTATATTTTTATTGTTTTTTAAAGAGTGTTACAATCTTTATCGAACAAAATTACACATTTATGAGACAAATTTTTTTACTTTTAGGACATTTTAATATTATTTTGAAACATTATATCATTTTGAAACACTTTTGTTTTTTATTGGGACAAATTACAAAGTAATGAGACAAATTTTTATTGTTTTGAAACAAAATTGAATATAGGTGCAATTTTAATTTATTTTGAGACAAATTCAATTTATTATGAGACTTGTTTCATTTGAATCCGAACTAACTGTAACAAAAAACCAAAAAACTCAGTCACGTATAACTTTTGTATTTTTGTCAAAACATTTATCTCCAAACGAATGTACACTTTTAGGTATTCTGATACTTTTCAGACTTTGGCATCTATAAAAGCAATAACATCCCAACCACTCAACGCTCTGTGGTATTTTAATTCCAGTCAATTTATGACATCCATCAAAACAATTTGATGGCATTGATGTGATTGTCGATGGTAGTGTTATACTGCTCAACATGTCACACTCACTGAAACACCCCAATTCCAGTGATGTTACAGTTGAAGGGATTTCGATACTTTCCAATGTAGAACATTCACAAAAACACGATTCGCCTATTGTATTGACATGTTGTGGTATTATAAAACCATTCGATTCATTTGTTTGTGTAAATTTATAACCATTGAGCTCTTCAACACTTGACGGTAAGTCTACTCCATACATAGTTGCGTCACCACACAAGCATCTCAGTCCAATAGATCCAATCACGTTTGGCATATAAACACTCTTCAAAGAACAACAATCGTAAAAACAACTGTAACTAATAGAAGTGACACTTTGTGGGATTGTGATGCTACTTAGATTTTTGCACCAAGAGAAACAATTATTACATATACTTGCCACATTTTGTGGGATTATAATACTACTCAGATTTGTGCACCGAGAGAAGCAGTACTCACCAAGAGATGTGACTGTTGGTGGAATCTCTTCGCCAAATTTCATTCGGTCGTATTTAGTATACGTCACGTTTTTAAATAATATGTTTTTGCCTCTGTTTTTGACAACTGTCCTGTAATTGACGTTAAACCAAATAACTATCTGGAAAAACTCCTTTGTTACTCCATTTTCATCTCCATTTGATACATCTTTGTAACTGTCATTGGTGTCCTGTTCGGTATATTCGTATGGTTCAACATATAGTAAAATTGAGTTGCCAAATGTTTCGCCAGTATTATAATATAGATGAAGTGTTTCAATGTTTGGAAAGTATTTGATTGTTTCTGTATAAACCGACACTGGGTTGTAATGAAACATCTCCATGATGTTTTTGAACTTTTTGCAGACCAACACGACATTATTAATTTCATATTCATATTCACATTTAAAATACCGTACAACTATCATCATATGGTATCTATCAAGTTTACTCATTTTTTGAATTATCCAGTGATAATTGAACAATTTTAAATATATTTTTATGATTTTTTGTTTAATTCTAACTATTAAAATATAGTTATTTTTATAAAAAATCAAATGATTATTTTCTGTTTCGTTATTATTTTTTTTGTTAAATAATGTGTAAATTGTGAGGATTGAGAAATTATTTTTTTTATTTGATATCAAGAATTTTTGTTGTTTTTAATAAATGTTGTTTTATATTTATTGTTTTAAATGTTTACAAGTCAGTACTAAACCCCGTATTAATTGATTGCTATTAAATAAATATGTTGTTTATTTTCGCAAACATTGTTTGTTTAAGGGTTTCTCAAGGATAAGGTGTATCCTCAGGATCAAAGCTATCCTTATTAAAATTATTTTTCTGAGGATACAAAAATCAAATCCATAAGGTTCAGTTCCCCATAAGGCCCATTCTCATAACTCAAGTTATAATTTACACTTAATATTTCGAGTCAAAGTTCAAATTTTAAATGATGGTAATAATTTGTCATAAATGCCAAAAAATTCAATACAATCAAAAAATCGCCACAATAATCAGTAAACAAAAACAATAATTATATCTCGCGAACTTGAGACGGGAAATAATATAGTGTGAATTAAACTTGTTCATATTATGATTATATACTTATTGATATTATTTCCGAATCCGTCTTTATAACATAATAATTGAAATGTACGTTTAAATTGATAATTGTTTTTTTATCAAAATGAAAATTGAAAAAGTCGAAAACACTGATTTTCTAAAAATGTGATTTTAAAATAACAAATTTATTAATAATCTTGTAATTTATGCAATTATTCAAATTTATTATAATAACAAAGTTAATCATATTGTGTATATTTTAATATGATTGTTTCATTTTGATATTAACTTGTGTTTTAAACAAATTTACAGTTCTGAGGACGGCATTTATTTTCTGAGGATGACAGAAATAGAAAGTTCACACTTTTACATCTGTCTGAAATGTATATTGAGTAAGTTACTATTTTTGAATATGGGAACACGTCATTTCACTTTTTAGATGTTAAAGTCTGTGTTGACAATGTTTGTTTGTTACACGACTTGCCATCCTCACAGATATTTATAGCACTGCCACTATTGATTTAAAATTCTATAAATAAAATTATCAAAGAATTTTTATAAAGTGGGTTTTGATAATTGATTATATCAAAAATCGTCAAAACATAACAAAACGCCAAATAATATATAAAATTGATTAATAAATTGAACACATTTTTATTGAGAATTGATATTGTATAAAAAAATAATATAAACATATATTTCTTGTGTGTATATGTTTTGAAATATATAAAACCGTTTAAAACAAAAATAATTTTACAAATTTGTTTATTTATCAATCGTTGTTTTATCGATCTTCAAAACCTCTCTTTTTGAATTTGCGCAAATACATAAATTGTCATCGCATAGAGTGTACGTTATTAATACGTTATTTGCTATCAATTTTTATTGTTTGAAATTTCATGAATTGATTTATAATAAATTGTATTTTTTGTAAAAAAGATTAAAAATTGTTTGATTAATTTGTTTTGTGATTTTGATAAAAAAAATCGACTTTTTCGATAATTTAAATGTCTGTCAAATGTTTTCATTTAAACCAAAGTTAGTCTTGTGGTAAATTAGAAAATAGAAGTAGATTATTTTTTGTAAAAATCAACACCAAGAATCATCTTTTAAAAAATCCATAAATAGCATTTTTAAAGAAAATCATGTGTTTCAAAATATACCTTTTTGATCTTAGGCAAAAAAATCTAAATTGAAAGAAATTATGTTTAAGATATTTACCATCCTCAGAAAAATTAACAATCCTCATGAATCACTTAATAATGAGAATGAAATAATTGGAATAATTAATTGTGTAATAATATAAATAATACTACACACATTATTATAATAAACAAAAATATTTATAAATCATTGTGAATAAATTTGATTTTTGTTCTTATGAAGAGGTAGAAAAAAAATATTAAATATTTAATATTTTGATTTATATAATTTAACTTAACAACAATTGTATATATTAGCTATTTGTCATTATAATCAACTTTAAGATAATGTTGTAAAAACAAGAACATATGTATCTATTTGTACAAAGTCAACGATAAATTATTAATAAAATTATTTTTCAAAAAATAGTGTTTGTAAAAGCTAATAAAATATACATGTATATAATATGACGTCATATTACTATCACATAAATATTTATATTATATATATATAATATAATACATGAATAATAATTTATTAATGTAGATATATACATTAATAAATTTAAATTTAAATTATTTTTATTTACAAATATATAGTCGGATTCGAAAATCGGAATAAAAAAGCGTCCAATTTTCTTATCTTATACATACAATTCGTGCTACATTTTGTTGAAACAAAAAAATCAAATATACACAATTGTTATTAATTTAATTGTGTAACTAAATAGATGTTCACTATTTTCATTCAACAGTTTTTTATTTTATTACAAACAAGAGAGATATTATTTTCAATTATTTTTTTAACTTTCGTTTTATTGTTCTTCATATTACAACATACAACAGTAAACACGTGTATTTTATAAACACAACAACAATATTGATAACGTTGAATAGAGGCACTTATTTAATAATAATTTCAATAATTTAATAACAACAGTTGGTGTATATTGGTATACTGTTTTATGCTGCACTTTTCATTTGAAAAAACATTACAATTTAAACGTGGTAACTTTTTTAGTGTGTAAACATGTAACATCAAACTAAAATTTTAATTGTAACACTTAAATAAAGAGAATATTATAATTTTCAACAATTTTGGGTAACGACTTGTGGCTCATGTGTATGTGCACATAAGATATTATAATCAATTTCCCGTAGTTTAATGGTTAAAAGGTATATAACCAGTACATTATATTTTTGATAAATTCACATTCATTTATTTGTATTAAAATAAATTTAAAAAATCAAGGTGTATTTTCAACAATTATTTGACAATGGTTTTGTTTGAAGAAGGGTATTTCAATTAAAAAAACAAGTTTAAATTATTACGCTTATGTTTATTTGTTTTTGAATTTTATTTAGTATAAGTGACTTTTGATTTTATATTATTCATTGTTGTTAAATCTAACGTAACTTATATTTGATTTTTCATAATTATTCTATATTATTATTACACACATTTTAATCATGTTTATATTACTTTTTATTACTGAAAAAATTGGTGTAATTTGGTGTTTTTAAAACATTTACATCTTTATTTCAATCGTTAAAATATTAATTTTTAGGAACAATAATTGTTACCTTTAAATTGTGTCTTGACAACAATCGTTTAACATCCGTAGTTATAATTTCATTTGATTATTGTTGTTAACGTTACAATGAGTATATTGTTTGTTGAATTGGTTTTGTTTTATTGATTATTTTGTTTGTTATATTTACTGTTTTCATTTTCAAATTAATAAATTTGGTTAACAAGTTCACGTTCCATTTATTTTTGTTTTATAAAAAATCTTTTGCTGTGAAAAAAAGAAGTATTGCAATTTGTTTTTTTAAAATGACTGAAAAACCCGTTCGCATTTCTGACGACATTTTTTTTGCAACGATCTTAATAATATTATAATAAGACATCATAACAAAAACAACTAAGATTTATGAATCAATTCATTTCTTCACTTTTTTAAATCCGAGAGTACGTCGTGAATTAACACACAACTTATTAATCGTCGTTTTGTGTCGTTTACGCGCTCATTTCCATGACACTTGACATAGAGAACACATGTTTTAGCAACGACGCTCCTTGCAAGCATCACACCTCAACTATGTCTTTTCGAATAATACATTTTGTTTAATTTTTATTATTCATTAAACTCGGCCACGGAAACGTGCGCGTAAATGACACAAAACTGTAAGTCAAAAATAGAAAGTCACTTATACATTTGAACATAACAGTGTTACAATCGACAAACTTTCCTTGATTTTTTTTAATTTTTATGTGCTTATACTTTAATTAATAATTACAAGATGAGTATTGATTAAAAAGTGTTTTGTGTTACAAATCAAAAAGGCAAAATAATTCGATTGGTATACAACAAAAATTAGCTGTTTTAAAATGACTTTAAAAACGGAAACATGTTAATAGAAAAAACAAATGGTCAACATAAAAATAAAATAAAAAATCTATTTTTATATGGTTAACCTTAAAATGGTTGTTGAGTTAACACTTCTAAATATAAATATTTTTAATTAATATTTATTCATGTTAAAAGCAGTAATCATGTTTATATTAATTAAAAGTATAATGCTGATAAATGCTATTGTTATTTCTATATCTTTTATTGTTATTATGTTTATTAAAACATGGATAAACAACGTTTAATGTGTTCTTTTTTTAAATAAGCCTTTTTCTATTGTTTATGATTAAAAATAAATAGTTTTACTGTATTATTAACATCAGTTAGACAATTTTGTCTCAAAAAATAGTTTAGTTTAAATGGTTTAACTCGCGGACGTACCTTATTCCCAACGGACCAATATTTTTAAAAAAAGCAGTGTTTTTGAGTTTTTTGAAAAAAAAATATATTATACAATGTAATTCAATTATAGTAAAATCAAAATAAAATAACGAGTTCAAATCGTGAACTGAAAAACAAAAAAATGAGAAAAAAACAATAAGATTTATTGTAATATCATAAAAATGGCAAAAATGTAAAAACTAAACTGTTTTCCAAAACTCTGTACCGTTTCCAAAATTTATATAAACCCTTTGTACTAATTTCCAGTTATTTACTATTTTTTATTTGTTTTATTTTTTATTTTCCTATTTGTTGAACCAACAACGGTACACAGTTTAAAACCCTTAAAAACCAATACAGTTTCAATTATCGAACAAAAAATCGGGAAATTACCAAAATATTGGGTCAATCTTCCCCGATTTTTTAGGTTTGTTATTTGGTTTGTGTTTCATT